GGGCATCTAGAGATTAAGATCTAAGATTCTGCTCTCTACAGATAATTGATGTTTACGTGTTATGCACGATTATGTTCTAGATTCAGGGATCTTATGTGTGGCTGGCCAAAGATGTTTTTCTTCTTCCTTTGCCTAAATAGTTCTCTACCGACCCAATACCTTGCAAAATTATTTCTCTTAAATACGTTTCTGAAATTAGGTACCAAAATGGCTTTCTCACCAGAGTAAGTCATCACATATCTGGGTACACTAATGTGCCTAACTCTAACACTAACTACAGCCTTTTAAAAAGGCATCATAATGAAAGGAATCCACGTAAGTCATTTATAGTTTATTAAACAGGGTACCTACGAACACTAGTTTCCTAATTCCCATGAAAAGGCAGATTATGGTATCACGTTTAAATTGCACGTGCTCTAGAACATCACCCACTGCTGGGTAAAGAAATTTCCTGTACTTGCAATACTATCCTCATTATTTCCTTAATGTAAATTCTGCTTCAGGTAAGCCAAATTATCTAGGTCCCGCCAGCTAGGAGCAGAATTTAATCTGTTCACTATAGATAATATATAGGAATAAAATGAAAATCTGGACTGTACCTAAAGACAAAACAAATCAACTTAAAAATCATATTAATACCACATGTAGTTTAACCCAGGAAACGCAGAAAATCAAATATGTCCCTGCTGTGTGAGTCCCGCTCTGGGTTAATTTCTAGACATTCGTGCCCCATCATAAACAACCAGCATAAAATGAGAAATAAACAGCAGCAGCACCACTGCCACTCTGAAATTTGGAAGTGAAGAGAACTGGCACATCACTACTGTCTGCTTTATATTTGTGTCTACCCATAGAGCTCTGCCAAAGGATAAGAAGCCTTCCCTCTTTATGCACGGGACGAACTGAAAATATTTTCAGGATATAAGGAGAAAAGAGAGAGTCAAAGATGGAGCTGGAAAGAGAAAAACTGCTTCACGGCAGGAAACCAGACCCGGGTGAGGAAAGACAAGATAGCAGGAGAAAAAGAAGAGTCCAGTGAGATCGCAGGAGGGAAAAGGAAAAATGAGCTCCTGACAAAGTGTGGCAGGGGGCTGTGGGGGAGAAACCGAGGAACAGGCCCCGTGTTAATGGATGGTGGGATCAAACATTGGAAGGTGGAGGCATAGGGTGCAGAGCGCTCAGGGAGCGGGAGTGGAGTTGGCTGGAGAGGCCGAAGAGAGGAAAAGGGAGACAGAGCACGCTGCCAGGACTTCGCAGGGACGGGGAGCCTTACCTTGCTTTTAGTCCGACTGGCCCTGGCCTTGGCCCGGCGCTGGGGCCTCACCGCCTCAGCCATAGACCCGGCAGCAGAGCCGTCGCCGTTTGTTTTTGTCAATACCCTGCGCTTTACGCCTCCTGCCGGGTTCTAGCCTCTGGACTGTACCACGTGACCGAATCTCCACCACTCCTGGAGAAGAGGCGGTGTCTTGGGGCCTCTACGGGCCGCAAGGAAGGACAAACCACTCCGGGATGCATTCGCACTGGAGGATGGGGGCCCCGCCTTCTCCCGGCGCCCAGGTCCCGGGCTCACCCATTCCGTGGGTCGTGCTGGACACAGGTACCGACTGCCGGGGCTGACAGACCTCCGTGTCCTCAGCCCTGCGGAGCCGCGCTCGGTCTGGACCCCGGGTGCGTCCGCGCTCCTCACCCACACTGGCGGGCTTGTCAGTCTTACTTTGATCTTTAGGTAACCAGATCCAATTGATAGTTAGCCTAAATCTGCAATGCGCGCAAGGAAACCCTTATGTCTATCGGGATGTGCACTTCAGTGTCCTCTTTTTGTAAAGGGGAATGATGATACTTGCCTTTCGGATGTCCCAAGGATTAAAGGGGCTACTCGTAAAAGGGGCCTGGTAGAGGCAGACATATCGGTAAATGGTAATTATTAATTATCATGACATCAGTACATACAGATTCCCAGGTTGGAAAAGAGACATCTGCTCCGAAAAGGACAAGCCAACCGGTAACAAGACAAGTAAGACCCGCAAAAGTATTCTTAGTATACATTGTACACATTTTGCTTCATTTGAAAATTCCAGGTGTGAAAAACCTGTCCCCATCTCCCTTTTGCAGCTCTAGGATTTCTATAATTGCTTTTATGTTTATGGTTAGTGGTTGTCCGCCCTCCTAGAATGTGAGATCTTCAAGGGCAGGGTTCTTCGTTTTGTTCCGTGATGTATCCCAAGGGTCTCTAGAACTACAGGCTAGCACATAGTGGGTAATAAATATTTGATGAATCAAACGAATGAATGTGACCTGTTTTGTCTGGTGATTGAATAAGATAGTTGAGACGCAGTGTATGGGAGAGGGAGAAAAAGACTATCTACCCACCCATAGCGTACCTGGAATGAAAAATCCAGGAAAATGGTATGGAAAATGGAAAGGACTTTAGAGATGCAGTCAGCATGGTGTCTTGTTTATGGCCATATTTTAATTAATCATATAAAATACAGTTTCACATATTTTGATCCCAAATCCTCAACAACAAAAACAATTACCAAGCTACTCAGAATGTACATATGCTTTGTCCTGAATGTCCTGAGGTGTGTGGAGGTGTGTGTATGTATCTGTGTATGTGTATAATTATTGCCTGCAAAACCTGGCAAATATGAACAATATCTTTATACCCACCACTACTATCCATAACTATTGTTGGTATTTCTCCCAGTCTGGAATATCCTCACTGGCCTCCCCCAGTTCAAATCTTTTGTGGCTTTTGAAGTTCTCTGTGTGTCACCCACTACTTGGTCAGCAAAACAGAACTGGCTCTACCTTCAATTTGCATGTTTTACAGTTTTGTTGGGAAGCAGACACAATGCATAGATCAATAGTGATATGTGATATGTGTATTGTCTATGGGAAAAAAAAGAGGCATACTTTGGGAAGATCGAATGAAGAGATGATACCAGGACATGGGTGAGTTTCATATGAAAAGGGGTTAATCTAGCTGGGTGCAGTGGCTTGCATCTGTAATCCTAGCACTCTGGGAGGCCAAGGTGGGAAGATTGCTTGGGCTCAGGAGTTCAAGACCAGCCTGAGCAAGAACAAGACCATCTCTACTAAAAATTGAAAAATTAGCCAGGCACAGTGGCGTGCACCTGTAGTCCCAGCTACTTGGGAGACTGAGGCAGGAGGATCACTTGAGCCCAGGAGTTTGAGATTGCATTGTCAAGGAAACAATCATGAGAGCAAACAGACAACCTACAGAATGGGAAAAAATATTTGCATGCTATACATCCAATAAAGGGCTAATAACTAGAATCTATAAAGAACTCAAGGAAATCAGCAAGAAAACAGTCAAACAACCCCATTAAAAAGTGGGTAAAAGACATGAACAGAAGCTTTTCAAAAGAAGATAAACTAATGGCCAACAAACATGTGAAAAAAATG